GTGGAAGACCAAATTTGAAATTTGAAATTTGTTTTATGATCGATTTCCTATTTTTTTAAAACTTTGACGAATTTTTGATTAACAAACTCAAGGATTTCAAAGTGAGCAATGGCAACGTTGTACAGAAAAAACATTTTTATCTCCAGCGCGTGAGTCTCTGTATCGGAAATTCTAAAGATATGCTCGTTTTAAAACTATTTTGTGATATTGCTGTTGCACTGGATCTTATGGTTTAAGTGCGAGGAACATGATATTTAATAAAGAAAGGTAACACACAAAATGTTAAAAAACGTCCCTTTGGACGTAATTTAAAATCTGAAACATTTCAGATTTTTTTTTTAATTTTTTGTTTAATTTCTTTAAATTCATGTTTATGCATATTTATGTTTATTCGCAATTTTTTTTTTGTTGCGATAATATGAATTTTCAGTTTAAAATATTCAGCATATTCAAAGAAGCCTGTAAAATTTTTATGATTAACCGGCTATATTAAAAAATGTTCTCAAAATATATTCCTTTATTTACAGGTCTGCTAGACAGATAGCAGCAGTTATATACAAAATATTTATCATACCTCTCAATGATTTAGCAAACTCCCTTCTCTTCGCTTATAGACGAACATATGTAGAAATAAATTTATTGTTGCATAACAGGTTTTTTAAAACTGTTTGTCGCGACCCCAAGTGGGGTAGCAAACAGAAATACTGGAATCGCAAAAATTTAATTCAGATACATGAATGTAAAGATATTACATTAACGAAACTTTTTAAAGAAATTACGTTATCTACCATTAACGAAATGAGTCACCTGCTACGTTCCTTTTCACCAAGCCGAAAAGAAATTTGTTGAGCTATTGAGTGACTCAAAACATGAGATTTTTACATAAGTCCTTGACTGAATTCAGGATCGGAACTGCAACTGAGTTTCTCTACATTTTCTCACATGGCATTACATTATCTGACTACCTTCTAATCGTCAGTTTTAAAGAAATCTTTTAAAAACATTTACTTTATTTTAAAAATTATCCATTGTGCTTCCAAAAGCTGCTTTTGTTTTGTCTCTCCGGTCCTTAGAAGCAAAATTATGCTTGTTATTGTCCTATGCCGCGAACTAGAAGTTTCTGTTTAAGAACCCGGAAGATGACGTCTAAAGGTACCCAGACTAATCTAAACTTTAAAAATGAGAATGTTCTCTTTGAATACTTTGGGTGATGTTCAAAAGATGATTTTGAACATTTCTATGTGTTATTAAATGTTCGGGAGCAAGATTTAATTTTCATACTCGGCAACATGTTCTTTTCCTTCTGCTTGTGTTTGCATCACATTAAACCCATTTTTTGAAAAACTTCAGTTTTTACAACTTTTATGTTACAAAAAAAACAATAACGCAAAATATAACTAAAGAAATTTAATGAAATTGTCCACAAGTATTCTATGAAATATTGCGAATGAAATGGACTAAAAGTTCAGGCTTGTGGACATACCTAAATGTTTTCAGACAATTTTGTAAATGAAAAGAGTAAAATTTCTTGGATAAGAGCTAGTGCATATACTCAAACAGGTATATTTAATAGACATTTTCCTTTATCACTTGGATTTTAGACCATTTAATTCTTTATACCTTAATAAATATAAGTGACAAAAATAAAAGCAAAATATTGATAAATATTTTTTGGATCATATCTAGTAATCCTGAAATTTAATACTTTTTAACCCAAAATGTAACAGAAAACAAAACATTATTCGTTTCTAATATTTATCCCCATTTTCTATTATTACAAGTATTGTTTTGCTGAATAACACAAATTTATTTTTAGTAATCTTGAAATTTAATACGCGTTTAACCCAAAATATAACAGAAAAACAAAAATTATTTGTTTGATAATGTTTATCCTTTGTTTCTATCATTTTAAAGTTGAACTCTGCTGAATAACACCAATAACATATTTAGTTTTACTATTTTCCCCAATTTGGGGTCGAACGGAGTCGGATACGTTAAATATTATTTTACAATTCAGCAGTACATATTTATGTGAAGCTTCTTTAGTACCTAATAAAACCAAATGCCATTCAAAGCTGAAAAATGCTCCAGATACTTTCCTTCCAGCAGCACCAAACATTACATTAAGATTTAATATGTTATGCAGCAGAACAAGCACACCCATCTCATTAAAACTTGATTTTCTTTCATTAATTTTTATATACTTGAAACAAATCCAAAAACTCATTTTCATATGTATAGTATTTAACAAAGAAATAATTATGTATAAGAAATATTTATTTTTGCATCTTAATTTTATATTTAATATCTGGGACCGCGAAACACTTTCAGTGATAAATAGGGTCATGAATGAAAAAAGTTTATGAAGCGCCGCTGTAGCACAATTTTACTGCACCAATTTCGTAAAGAAATACATTTTTCAAAACTGGATTTAGTGTATCTTAAGAGTTTCAAAATCTTTAAATTTACATAGCAGCGAGTAAAAAAGGGTAAGCAATTACGCATTTTAATAACTACACCCGCTTGTGCATTTAACAAGGTACGAAAGTTTGTCTTCCTGCAGCGCTTGCTATTTTGTTTCTACTTCCACCCAGAGCACTTCTGCATTGCGCCGTTCGTTATTCGAAGGGTTAAGTAAAATAGCTAACTATAAAAATGCTCTTTTATACTGTAACATCGAACCACATGAAATGCAAACATAATAATCGATGCAGCGGAACTTTCTTCTGATATATCCAAAAGTATATACTGTAAAGCTTATTTCTATTAATGATTTTTTTTTATTTCAAATTGCATTCCGCTTACAAGTAACTAAAAGGACAATTAATGTAGGAATTTAACTTACTAAATAAAAATCAACTGCTTGAATACAATATATTCTTGAAAAAATTGAAACATAGATTTTATTTGCTACGAAACCCCATCCGCAGGTGAAGAATAAAGCAGCAAATTATGTAAGTTAGGCATTTGCAAAACCTAGAAATGACGCAAAACTAATAACTCGATCAAACTTGTCACTCCACACAATTTTGTCTACACTCCCCTTCAATCAGAAGGATTATAATTATTCTTTCCCATTTTGAAAATAAACGTAATGAAATCAGTTTAATATAGGATATGCTAAAATTCGCCAGCGTAAAATATTCTTTCTGAAGCAGTTATTGAAGTACTGTTACAGTTTAAACAAGATAAAATAAAATGGTTTATACTTAGTCAGGAAATAAACTGCCAATTACCATTTGATATGAATTTCAGCTTTGATTAATATCAAGGCTGAAAATTGGTGCAACTAAAGCAAATATTTTTTAATTGTACCAATTGATAAGTAAATACGAATTAAATAAAGTTTAGGCTACAATTACAATTAAAAATACTAAATGCATTTGGAAATTATAATAAATTAAAACCTCACACGTTTCCCACATTTACCACCACTTCCTTATTTAAATCATTACATGAAAATTACGTGGCATGTTCTCTACTGTTTCCCCATCTGCTATTTCATGTTCTATTTCGTATTTGCAAATTCTAATACAAATAACGCATCAAACTGTGTATAGTGTTTTGTTTGCTTCGCTTTGCATATCATAAACAGCGGAAGTTTTTTATACTCATGTGCTGGAACTTTAACATTTTACCTCAAAAACACAGTTCGAGCATATTTTGGCTGATTGAAAACACGAAGATTTGAATTTCGTTAACAGTTTTTACTACTATAAATAAAAACTCAGTATTTATCTATATAAAACGAATACGGAGAAGATCTTACTGTAAAAATAGTACAAAAAAGACGGCTTTCCATTAAGGAAAGGGCAAATACCGTAATTCCAAACGTATCAACATATTTTGAACAAAATATCAGTTGCCTAAAGAGTCGTTATAACGTAATTACAAAAGGTTAATGTCTTTAAAAATGTTCTGCAATGAAACAAATAAAGATACCAAAACTAAATTACAAATGATTTGCTAAAACACACCATATGAGAAATAATACAAACTGTACATTTTAAATCAAGTATAAATAAACACTGAGTAATTGCAAATATACATTAACCTTTTGTTCTGCATCAATTAAAATTCTGAAAACATCGAGAGCATAACGACATTTGTAATCTTAAATATTTCGTTTATTAGCTTGTGAATAAAGACATATGTGGACAGACATATATAAGTCATTCCAGTATCCTAAAACTGCTTATATAATTTGTATTTAAATTATTTCTATTATGACCCTAAATTTAAAAATAAGAAAACTGGATACTTTAAATTATAAACATCGAAATTAATAATGAATATATATGTCGGCATACTTTATATAATGAAGTAAAAAAAAACCAACTTCATGAATTACCAAATAAAATCTCGGTTTCTTGTACAGATATAAAATCATAAGCATGTAGCAGTTAAAAGTACCATTTCACATTAATTATAGATTAAAATCAAAATGTTTCCGTAAGTTAACATGCAATAATTGGAAATGCTAATATTAAGTACCAATTTATCTCTGCAATTCACTGAATGGGAATTTACCTTGTTTTATTAATTTATTTATACCATAATAAATATCATAGTTTACTGTATAATAATTTCACTATTGATGGAAAAAATACATAACTATTGGTGAAAGAAATACATAATTATTGATGAAAGAAATGTTGGTAAAATTACTGCATTTAGATTAAACAAAATTTAATAAATCAGTTGAATATTAAAAAAACATTGATCTTGCTCAGTATTTAAAATGTTATATATTTCACTTATTTTAATTTTCGCAAAGAAAAAAGGAAAAGACAAAATGACAAATAAATGAATTATGATTTAAATAACATCTTAAGCTATTTTAAAGGATTCCTCGTTAGAGAAGCATTAAGAGTTGTTTCAAAAAGTTTCTCAAACTGCGTTAAAAGTTCTACAAACTTTAAAGAAAGAAAACTGAACCATTCGTGACATTCACGAGACACAAAAATAACAATTGCTTCGCAAAAAAATTATTGATTTACCTTTTTTGTTGAGACTGATGCTGGTAGAAGCTTGTAATCCAAAGAACAGAACTCTAAGAAAATCACTCATCTCAGTTGTAAACATGTCTCAGTCCGCATTTTCAGGAAATAGTCTGTAGTAAGTTTCTTACTACGCGCGCGAGAAAACAGCTGATACACACTTAAAGATTTCCTCAGCGCAGGCAGTTTTTCAACATGTACTTATTAACAGAAATCTGCCACCGAACCGTCTTTTGCGTATGATACCAAGAAGTTACTGTCTAAAACCACAAAGTGTAAAACTATACAATATCTTGTTTTCTTTGTAACTAGTTTAATGCAAGAGCTGTCATCTTCTGGAGCATCGTGCTGCACTTATCGTAACACCTCCTGCCGGTAGAGAGTAATGGGACAATCTTGGCGACCGAGTGCTCGATTTGGCGAAAGTTCTAGTTTCGTAGCGCTATTATTATTGTCATTATTTCGGGCGATAAATGCAGTATCTGGTAACTTTTGGGGATATAACGTAACATTTGAGACTAGCGATTATGACTTTGTTTATAGAGCGAAGAACAGAACTTCACGAAGGAGTGATACATTTTATGGAGTCGATCCCTGAGTAATAATTCTCAGATTAAAGTTAAATAAAATCAAGAAATGCATTTCATTTAACTTTTCGTAATTTAGCATTTACCATAATAAGGACATTATAACTTCGTAGATATATTAATTAGTCTTTATAATATTTTTTTCATGTGCGTATAACTGGAAGATAAATATAGAATAATTTCCAATATCATATCAAAATACATTTCTAGATTTGTTTAGAATTTTACGTGATCGAGAAATCGTAAAGTATGAGTTGTAAGATATAAAATTTCAAATTTCATATTTTATCCTCGGGCGTATATATGTCATGAGAGTTTGTGATTAATAAAACCGATTTAATTTACATTGACACTGCAGATAAAATTCACCTAGACGCTGGTAGTCCAATCTGCCTTGGATTCTAGTCAAACGGGTTGGCTACATGGGGTTTTCGTGATTTTCTCCGTGTGTAATGTGATATAAGCCAGTCTTCCTTAGAAAATATTCTTCGAATACATACCTTCCTTTAGACATCTAGCCCTAGCATACTTTGCCATAATCAAATAAACCAGATCAAACCATATTTAATCATAGCCAACAGAAATCAAGCGATAAAAATCGCTGAACAAAGCCATAAAAATCGTACTTCAACCAGGGTTCAGATCTCGGCTGCATGGGAATATCGGGATTTTTCCCATATGTAAGGTTAATACGGTCCACTTTTCCTTAGAGTGTCTTTCAAGAAATGTCCCCTCCCAAACTAGGTTATTTGAATATGACAAAGCACATGAGAGCTATCTCTCTAAGGAAAGAGATGTTTTCGTGGAGGACTTTCTGTGGGAAACTAGCTCGTATTAGCATTACATAAAAGCATATAGACAATGAGTACTTCACTTTTCAAACTGTTACCACCAAATATATATTATATTTAAAGAAACTAAATAATGAAGAATCTGTATCAATGCATGAATGTTTTTCGCAGTGTGAAAAAGCAACGGTACATAGAGCCTATAAATTTTGAATAACGTACTTCTCCAATTGAAAATGAGCCCGAATTTCGAATTTTTTTTATTTCAAATGTTGTAAAACTTTAACGAATTTTTGATTAACAAACTCAACGATTTCAAAGCAAGTAATGGCAAAACTTTACGGGGAAAAAAAAAAAAAAAAAAAAAAAAAAACAGTTTTGTTTCCAACGCGTGAGACTGTGAATCGGAAATTCTAAACTTATGTAAACATTTTAATACATATATATATATATATATATATAATAGAAACCCTCATTTTCCTTTCAATGTTCTTGTGATAGTATATTACAGTATAAGTGAAGAAACACTCACGCTTGTGTCGAATTTGCGCATTGCTTATGGGGGTCCCACTGATATTAGGGGGTTCCCCACCCATGGCATAGATGACAAATGCATAGTAGCGTAACATAACCGAAATAATATTAAATTCTTGGAAAGACTGCTAAAGGATATTTCTTAAAACCAACAATAATAGTAGTAATAATGGTATGGTTCAAATATGATGACCAAGCATTGTTTATGGAAGAATGAAAGTTTATTTAATTTCGAAATAAAACCACTCAGAATAAATTACGCATTTCCAATCTCTTCATAATACAATTTAGAGACAGCCGACAATACCCAGTATGATACTTTGAATTTAGCACAAAATAGCTATTGAGAAATTTGTTGCATGAGCTATAAATGAAACAAAGATTTAAACTTGATAAAAATAATACCTTTTTATGGATTCCTTCAAAATCAGTATTTATCTGTCAGTGCTGAGCTAAATCAGATTTTACTGACTCCATATTTGATAATATCTCGTTTTAATTAACCCTCTGAGCGTTATGACCGAGTTTATCCGGTCAGCAGAAGATTTGCTACTTTGTATATTTTAGCTTATAATTTAAGATATTTTGCTTTCTTACTTTCTTTAATAATGTAAACATAGTCTTAAAGTTTATGAAAATATGGACTACAATAAGTAATTATACAAACTCAATTAATAAATGCTGTTTAAATACTGTTCTTCATGATGGATTTAAAATCTTGTATCACTCAGAGGGGTCCACGAGAAAAATTTTTAACTGGGAGTTTATAAAATTTTCTTAAATTCTTTTTTTTTAGTCCAAAGGGGCAATTTGCCTAGTGGGACTATTAATCTCGCTTTGACATTTTGCGTTGATTCACTATAAAGGTTGATTTACTTTTCAGACTGTTGCCACCAAATGTTATCGCCCTGTGCTATCTTTAAAGAAATCAAATAATGAAAAATCTGCTTACATGTATGCATGTTTTTTGCATTGTGATAAAACAACGATACCTAGAGCCATTAAACTTTAAATAACGTAATCTTCCACCGAATATGGGCATCTGAAAGCCCAAATTTGGAATTTGTTTTATTATCTATTTCATATTTTGTAAAGCTTTAACGAATGTTTGATTAATAAACTCAACGATTTCAAAGCGAGCAGTGGCAACACTGTACTGAAAAAAAAAGACATATTTGGTCTCCAGCGCGAGACTGTGTATCGGAAATCCTAAAGATATCCTCATTTTAAAATTATTTTGCGATATTGCCTTTGAACTGAATTTTATGGTTTAAGTAAGGAGGATACGGTATTTAATAAATAAATGTAATACAACGTTAAAAAATCCTCTTTGGGCGTAATGTAAAATCTGAAGGCATTCAGATTCATATATCTGAAAGCTTTCTGAATTTATTCAATTTAATATCATTTTTTTTTGTTATTTTCTAAGATGTTATTTCACCACGGATTAATCTTAGAGAATTTTCCCAATTCACTATTAAATGGCAACTGCAAGACAGAAACAGCTTTGCATTTGCAGCGATATCTCAAAGGCGCTGACTTCGGTGACTTTTAATTCGCAAACTGCATCTTTCCAAAGATGGTTATGAGATATAGAATGTTATCTCTTCCCGCCAATACTTTTGACAGCTGGGGGATGCATATAAATGAGTTTCGCATATGAGATGGATGAAATGTAAGATTTCCATATTCTTTTCTGACTACATCTTCATCTTTCACCAATGAATGAGTATTTTATTTTTCAGTCACTTGCAAGTATATGAGTTTAATCAGATTGTGTTAAAGGTGTATTTTTTTATATATTTTACAGGTATAAGAAATTGACGGGTGGTACGAATACATTTAATTCGGAATATCTGACCCATAGACAGACGTTTTCCAACCTTTGCTGTTACGCAGAGAATTTTAATAAAAATTGACAATACAGTCCCGATTCATTAGTAAAATCACATTTCTCCCGAACATATTTGAATTTATTAAAGTAGCTAAATTTAATAGAAAGCTATCTGGTTTTGGTTTGGTTTACTTAATTATGGCAGAGCACACTAGGGATATCTGCCTAAGGGGAGGGATGCCTTCGTGGAAGGCTTTCTAAGGGAAACTGGCTCGTATACACGTTACACATGGGGAAAACCACGAAAACGCCCATGCAGCCAGCCCGTTCGCGGGATTCGTACCTCGGACCGAACTACCAGTGTTCAGCGACTTTACCGCTCGGTCGCTGGTGGGCGAAATTTATCTGGGAATTGCAAATTAGGAGGTCAAAATTACACTTACCTATATAATAATTAATTTAAAGTTATAATTAATAACATAATAAAATAATATTTCAAAACAAAATAAGATCTGAAAGCTTTTGGATTTTATATTACGCCCAAAGGGGTCTTTTAAAATTGCTCGCTTCAGTCAGTGTTTTACAAAATATAAAATAAATAATGTAACAAATTCCAAATTTAGACTTCCAGATGCCCATATTCGGATGGAGACGTACGTTATTCAGAATTTAATGTCTCTGGGTACCGATGTTTTTTCACAGTGGGAGAAAACACATTCATGTAAATTCTTCATTATTTAATTTCTTTAAATATATTGCAGAGCTTTAATATTTGGTGGCAACAATTTGAAAAATTATTCATACTTTTACAGTGAACCAACCCAATATGTCAAAACGAACTTAATAGCCCTTCTGGGCAAATTGGCCAGTTAGGCTAATAATTAATATCATTTTAGAGGGATATTTTTGTTGTCTTATAAATTGAAATCCTTCTAGAAACAGTTCTTTTATCATCACTTGATTTTCAACACTTTGCTATTTTTTTATTAGTTCTTTAAATGTTTTAGTTCTTATTTCAAGAAAATTAAAAAGTGCTGTTTAGAAGATTTCCAGGTTGAATACAGCTTGTGTTTCAGTACTTTCTCAAGTAATATTATAATCTTTTAGCAGTTTATGTTTCAGTTTCAGATGATAAATCTTTAGTCTTATACAATTTAGATATGTTACAAGTACTCACAGAGCAATTTACATAGTACTTCCTACAGTGGTTTGCCCAAATCCGACATCCATGATTTTTAACATTTGAGAGACTGCATTTTATGTCTGTGATCTCCCATTTCATGATTATTGCGATCTCCTGTGATTGGTACGAGAAATGCTTTCTGTACCTCACAGTCTGTAATGACTTCTGGCTTGCCATTCAAAGGACGATAATATACAATATCATCAGCAACCAATTCAGCAAGTTTCCCAAGAATAATACGTGAATCAGTAAGTATACATTTCAGTGGATCATCTACTAACAACTCTGGTTGAAAATAATGATACATTTCAGCACTGAGGTATCAATATTTTGCCAGCTTCAGTTTACTTAATGAAGAAGATGAATTTAACAAGCGGAGACTATTCTATTAGTATACATTTGTTCTAGTTCC